GGGCTGCCTGGCTGCGGTGGGATATCGGCTCTCTGCTCCTCCGAGCCTCCCCCCCGCACTGAAGGAATCTGCGCTGGGGCTTGAACACTGGCTAAGTTACCTCCCAGAGACGGTGTGAGGGACTCGGGCTGCTCAACCTGCTGCTGCTGGTAAATGCTCTTCACTTCTTACTTGTCTACATGCTTAAGGCTTTTCCCCATTGCTTTTCATTCTGCAACAGCGCCTAAAGCTGCAGCACGCTCTGTCCATGTGTGTGTGTATGGTGCGTGTGTGTGTGTGTGTATATGTGTCCTCCTTTTTCTCTCCTTTCCTGCTTCCCCCCCTTCAAGTGTCTCAGCCCAGTTGACAACTTCTGCTGCGTTTCTCATAACCAGGCGGCAGGGTTTTGTCTCCTGCAACCTTTTAATTCAGCACTTGGAGAGGTCATTACTTGTCTGAGTTGCAGTGAGAAGGGGGAGACGCTTGCTCCTTTCCCTGTAATAAGTGCTGCTGTTGCTGTTGCTGCTGCTGCTGCTGCTTTTCTGCCCATTCATTTTCATCCTCGCTTGATGAGATTCCCCCCCCCACCCCCCCCGCCTTTTCCCGGGCTCTGACTGTTGCCCCCGTGTTTTTCATTTCCTCCTAGCCAAGATTGAGGCGCGAGGGTTTCGGTTTTTCCTGACAACGTGGAAAGGTACCGCTGCTCCCGAAACTATTGTGTGCTCAGTGCGTGCTGGTCGGGAAGAGGCAGGAGCCAGGGGCAGGAGGCATCTGTATTCCAGCAGGGAATTAAAAATAGGCTGTTTTGCATCAGTGCTGCAGATTTGCAGGAGGCAGGGAGAGGCAACAATACTCATGTTGGTCGGAAAGCTGAGAAACGGAGGAGTGCTTCGCTGCATCACAAACCGGCCAGTGACTGAGCTGAGGCTAAATTGTACTTAATAATAAATTCAGTGCTGTGGAGAAAGAGGTTGCTGGCAGTGTAGTGCTCACATTGCTGAGAGGAGGGACGTGGGCTAACACCACACCGAGACCTCGTTAGCCCTTGCCTAGAACAGCAGTTTGACAAGATATTCTCTGTTTCTTGCATGCACCCAAACCGAAATTGCAATTAGGCAACCTGAGGCGTGCAGATTGAGCCCTTAACTCTTCTTTAGTTCAGACCAATACTTCTTTTTAAACTCTCGCTGTCAGGCTCTTTTTAAGTGTTAGTGGCAACATATTCATACATGGCATTTTAGATGAATTGCTAGTCAAGCATAATACGAATCCAGTGAGCTCTAATACTTCATTTTCCTGCTCTTCTTTTTCTTTTTTTCTTTCCACTCCCTATTTCAGAAATTTGTTTTTAAAGAGATTGAATATATAATGGCCAGTCAGCGGTAAATTGAAAACTATTGTACTGATAGTTGTAAAAATTCTGCAAAGCCAACATTACAGGTAGAATATAGGTAATATAATGCAGCCTGAGTGAATAAAGTGCATTAAAGTAGGCTGGCCACATTCACAATAGTTGTATATTGTTGTCATAAGATGTGGAAACTCTGCGTTTCTTTAAAAAATATCCCACAGGTATTCAGCCCATCTATATACCTTAGAAGTGAAGTTTCCGAAGTAAAATCATGACGCTGATTTTAGAAAACAAAGCTTTATTGTTGCAGCTTAGAATACAAATTCTCAATGAGTATATCTAGGAGTCTATGACCATTTCCTAACATGCTGGATGGAACTTTTTTAATTTTACAGGTTTCAAAGATTCATTTAAATGTATAAGTTACTTAGCAGTGAATTATCAGCGCACTAAAATTAAATCACCTGCTGTTGAAGTTCTTTAAAACCTTTAGTCCTACACCACTATGCAAATGTATTAGTTAATCTTGGTTGTGTGATCTTAAAGCTTTGCTTTAAATTCAGATAGAATTATGAGAGAGAAAGCATTCATCTCTTTTTTGCTTAGTTGTATTAAGGTGTTTTATTGCATTTCATCTCAACTAAAAGAATACAAAAGTCATTACAGTGTTCATAAGACTGACATATTGCTGGTTTTAAATTTTTCCATTGACTTGCTAAATGTATTCATTTGACAAAATAGAGAGCTCCTTCCATTCATAAGGATTGCAGATGTTTCAGGGATTTTTTTCCTTGTCTAGGTGCCAAAGAAAGATGCATTCACCTAGAAAGTACTGATATGGTAAATGACCTAAAGCCTTGCCAGTGCTGACATAAAATTAAT